TTGGCAAACCCTGGTATAGACATTTAATTTTCTATATTATATTGGGCCTGTAATTTATCAAAAGTTAAAAGAAAATTTGCAGAAAAAAAAAGTTATCCAAATGTGTGATATATGAATGCCACAATTCTAGATCAACATCCATTTCAGATTTTGTTCATTGGATGGTCATGTTGGCAGATAGAGGGTCTCAAATTCTAATTGCTCAGTCCTCTTTCAAACAGTCATGTCAATAAAACAAGCCCACCATATCAACTGAAATATAAATCACTTAATGAAAATATATTTTACATTCTCATGGTTCCTAGAAGAGTACATGCCTAGATCATAAAAAATACCAATTAATCCTAATTGAATGTAAAATAAAACTAGTTTCAGTGTAATTTGGACAGACAGTCTAAATTGTAGACAGGAAGCAGTTGAACTATAAATAATTTAACTAACACAGAATAATAATCTATATAAATAACTGCTAAAAAATAACTGAAACTAATAACAAAATTCAGTTGCTTCATACATTTATATAACATGTTGAGAAGCTGATTATCAATATTTTCAAACTGGGAAAACTAATTCAACACCTTACACTAGTATACTTGGTATAGCCTTGAGGTCCCTCTCAGCAATGTAGGAGCAGCATGCCAAAATAGGCCTAATAGTTATTAGCACAATGATGGCCCAACACATTTCCCGAGGGCATAAGTTGAATGTCATGTCTAAAGCACACAAATAGTTTCAGATAACAAAATGATATCAAAAACAAATAAATATTGCATATAGTAGACTGACATACCATAGAATGATATACAGAAGTAGGACGTGCAAGAACAAAATACATCTATTTCTTAATAATTTAAGCATCATAATTTCGTTTTTTAAATTGAATTATTTTCCAAAGCAAAACTATTAAATTTCACACTGAGCATTAAATCATGAATGAATTGAAAACTAAATTTAAAAATAGTCAATTGTCAATGGTCATAGCTACAGGGATTTAATATTTTTATTGGGGAAAAAATAAAAAGCTGATATCATTGCTGCCAAGTGCCAGCTAAGCTCCTCACTCAAGTAGCTAAAGGTTAGGAATGGGTTATGCTTTCTTTAATTCTCATTTATATTGCAATTAATATTTTATGCATGTCTGTCTTGGCAAAGGTAGAGAATACTGTGTAGATTATCTTAACACTTACAAAACTGTGTAAACGATAAATGGGACTTATAGTCTACAAATCTTGGATGCAGGTACCACCTTTCCCTAAACGTTTAAAAACTTTAGAACCTGTAATCAAAACTACAGCCATTGCATTGCCCTGCAATTAACATCTTCCTCTAAAACTAAAACATTACAGTAAAAGTAGAGGTACCTTGAAGCCAGGATCTAGTGACATGAACATTGTAGTTCAGCCTATATTCAGGAGGCTGTTCTCCATACTCTCCATGGTCCAGTGCAGCAGAGTGGAACAGTGAATAGAGCCCAGCAGGAACTGACATGTGGTGAGTGAATCATGTATTACAATGAGCTGTTAGAAGGTAAGATGTTAGAAGGTTGGAAAAACATTGTAATTACTTTTTTTGTTTTGTCGTTTTTTAGTTGGTCTATGGTAGCTCAGAGAGAGAGTGTATCTTTGTCAGAGCCTGGGTGTAGCCTAATTACCATTGTTTTGTATGTATCAAACTTTTCTAACTTAATGAGTTAACATAAGGGTTTCTAATAGAATGTTCCTGGCTTTGAAATTTAGACCATAGAATCTTTGTGCAGGTATGCATCCTGGTAGGTTTCCGCATGGATGTTCAAGACCGCTCCAGCAACCCCCACTTATATGCAGGTGGTTCTCGTACCCTTGAAGATATCCATTTCCAAACAATTGAATGGACGCAGCTGTGGAATCGCACAGTGTGTTTTGGTTAGCATTTAATAGTTTGTTTCAGTTGTACAATGCACCAGTTGATCACTAGCTTGGGTTAGGATTTGAGTGTGAGTCCCAAGGGTCCCATGCTTCTTCCCAGAAGCTTTTCTCTGGCTTAGCTTTCCTGGCCATAGTTTCATAGTTTTTTGAGGTGTTGATAATCTGGGTACATACTGTGATTTTGGGAGTGGTGATTTCTAACCAGGCTCTACTAATGGTGGTTACTGCTGCTATAAGCATGTGGTATATCAGGTATTGTTTGGAGTTTGGTATGTCCAGTGGAAGAAGTTGTAATAAGTATAACCCTGGGTCTTTTGGTAATTCCACTTGTGTGGAATCTGAAATATTTTTTGTGACTTTGTCCCAAAATGGTGTAAGCTTAGGGCACATCCACCATATATGGTGCATGTTGCCAGGCTGCATTAGGCTTTTCCAACATGTGCTCAATGTACTTGGATTTATGTGTTTCAGTCTAGTGGGTACAAGAAACCAACGGTATAGAAGTTCCCTGGACAATTCTATGTGCGATGTGCATAAAGTAAATTTTTTTGTTTGCTAATAAGATTCTGGACCATTGTGCGTCATCTAGTGTAACGGATCACTTGGCATCCTGACTGGGTACCTCCATTGATGGATGCTCCTAGTGTTTCCTGAGGGCTCCAAACACTCCACTTGACACCATAAGCACTGCAGACCCCACGAACCGCCGCAGCTTGGTTGGGGTCTCGCTGTTTCCTCCTACCCGCCCTGGACCTAAGACAAGGCTTCAGATTCTAGTGGGTGAACCTCTCTTTCCCCAGAGAGCGAAGCAGGAACAGGAACAGGAACAAGCTCTTGGAAGAGCTTAGTGATTATAGCAAGGGAGTATGAAGAGCATAGCAATCGTTTGTTGCAGATTTACCCTAATAAGAGACAGGACTGATTGAGGGTGAAGTAGAACTGGTTTAATGAGCACAAAGGCATTTCGTATATACAGTTTTCCCCACAAGGTTACCACCCATGTGGACCTTATGGAGCACAGGACATAGTCACAACAGCCAATCAAAACAGTATGTACAGTTAGACACTCCCAGGTACTGTACATGAACCCTCCCCTCTGCCTGTGATACAATTAACAAAGACAATGGACTAACTCAATTACCACAGACTGAAAATATCCAGTTTTACCCAAAGTTCGGAAACACCCGAAAAAAACAACATATTCCCACAAATATGCCTGGATAGCCCTGATCTGGGTGAATAACATATCCAAAAATCACCTAGATCAGAACAGGGGTTCAAATGTTTTATGTAAGTCACATCTGACCGACCGCAAGCATGGCTTTCATGCCCAAAATAGTTCCACAGATTTAGACTGTGCTGCCGGTCTATCTTCTCCTCTATCCTGGAGATAATTGGCTTAAGTGGTACAGGAAATATCTCTAAGTCCAAAACTGTCCTGGACTTCAGCGGGAGAAGTCGCATGTAACAGCAGCTCCGCACCCAAAGGCCTAAATTGAGCAATTGCCCCACAAATAATTGGCAACCACCAACCTAACCTACAGTTATGTCTCACCCCAAACCAAAAAGACAAACGGAGATGGCGGACAAATCTAATTTTTTTGCTCCAAAACAGAGCGCGCTCAAAGAACCCTCCCAGGCAGCGGGAAGCCAAGATGGCGAGGACGAAGCACATGAGACAGCTCCTGTTGTGGATCAGAAATGTTGATCTTTGTTATATTCAGAGGAAGCCCAAATTGTTGTTACAAGTGCACTTGGAGAAGCGAGAATTAGACACCAGACACCTGTTGGTATTCAAAATAAGCCTCTGACGTTTTCTTCATCAGCTGGGTTTTATACATTAAAAAGTAAGTGCTTACGTGCAAATACTCTTAGAACAGTAATAGGAAGAGAGTACAGATAAGACATAGGGATGAGCGTCATGTACACATAACAAATAAGTTTCAAGGTAAGAGAGAACAAAATTATTAGAGCAGAGACATCTTAGGTGGGGGCTCTCTGCCCCCGGAACTTAGACATATATGGTCTTAAGTGTTGTTTAATTATCAAGCATTTCCTGAGTCCAAGTTAGCCAATTTTAATATAGGATATCATTATATGACACCTATAAGCTTGAGCCTTGGAATCAAGATAAATTCTATCACAATCCCCTCTTTTGATCCAAGGGTCACCCAAATGTCCAACGTATATCCAGGCCTGCTAGCCAAAGCCTGTGGGACTTTCATTTATTGCTTCACCACGGTTCCCTTGGACTGAGAGACCACCAGAATTAGCAGAGGAGAGTTCTTTCATTTGTTAGGTGAGGTAAAATCATAAAACCTTTCCGAAGTCGGAGCTGGAATGTAAGTTAAGGTATGACCAACAGTAGGTTTGCTTTTACATAGAGAGGTTAGTAGACATGAAAAAAAATCTAAAGGTTAGAAAAATAGCCATAATGACAAATACAGCTAATAGCCAAAAGTACAACATTATTAAAGTCAACCATGTTCCTAGCCCAAATGTCCAATCCCAATACCCAAAGAAGCTAGTATCCTGTTTGATATCCTGTACTAAGTCATGTAAATATTTTATATGTTTATGGATCATAGTGCCATGGTCAGATAGGTTAAAACAGCACATACCTTCAATAGCTTCACAGCCATGCTTCATTAGTAAGTAGTCAATAGCTGCTCTATTCAAGGATTGCCTTCTTATTTGCCTGGTTGTCCATAAGTAGCTCTTCTAGGGCCTGTGAAGTGGCATTTAAACCTTTTGCAAGGGAACAGGCTACAGCATTAACTACTTGGGTATTATACAATGCTAAGCCTGGGACTCCTACCAAGGTGTACGCTAGGGCAGAGTATTCGGTACTGAGGAGAGGGTTGAGGCAAAAGGATGTTAAATTAAAAACCTTTGCTATCTGCTACCATATATTTTCCTGCCATGCAATATTATTTTCTGGTCTCAAGTCAGAGTAGCATATCCGAACACAGCATAAAATGGTAAAGGATAAGAACAGCTTCATGTCGGTGGATCAGTCGGAGTGACTTGTTTACAGTGACTGGTGTGTATCCACATGGCTTTTCCTTCTAGTTTCACCGAGGTAGCCGTAGTCAAGAGCACTTGGAATGGACCATCAAAGCGTGGTTCAAGTCCTTTCCTCACATGCCTCTTTATCACCACCCAATCACCAGGCTGCAGTTTGTGAGTTACAGAATCAGAGTCTGGATCTGGAATAGAATCAAAGACTTGTTTATGCACCCTGCCTAATCTTTGGTGTAGGGCCTGAACATAGGCAGTCATACTACCATGCTGCATCTGGAGGGTTTGGGGAAAATAGAGGCCTGTCTTTAGGGCACATCCAAATAGGATCTCAAAAGGGGATAGGGCATGTCTGGAATTGGGGGTGAATCTCATAGAAAAGAGTGCTAGGGGAAGGCATTCAGTCCAGGGCTTCCCTGTGTCTTGCATGGCTTGTGCAAACTTGTTCTTTAAGGTGCCATTTGCCATTTCTACTTTCCCACTACTCTGGGGGTGATATGGGGGTGTGGAAGGCCTGACTGATCCCTGAGGCTTTCTTGCATTATTTCCCCAGTGAAATGGCTACCTCTGTCACTTTCAATCACTTCAGGCTCCATATCTACATACCAGTTCCTTCGACACTGGGTAGGCCTCAGGCCAACCTGGAAAGAGATCAATGCACACCAACACATATTCATACACTCCTACCTTAGGTAGTTGAATATAGTCTATCTGCAGTCTTTGAAACGGGTAAAGTGGCCTTGGTGTGTGCTTACTTGGTGTTTTCACAGCTTGTCCTGGATTGTTTCTAGCACAAATCATGCAAGCTTTGGTGTGTTTAGCTGCTACAACAGTAAATCCGGGTGCTACTCAATGGGTGTTTACTATGCTGTTCATGTGAATCTTGGATAGATGTGTAGGTCCATGGGCAATCTGGGCCATCATGGGGTACAACACTCGTGGTAAACACAGTCTTTTACCTTTCCTCCACATTCTGTCATCATCAGGTTCTGCATCTTGTTTCCTCCAGAGGTCATGTACTTCCTTGCTTGCCTGTCTTTGTAAGCTCAACAGTATATTGTAGTCAACGGCGTCATCTGTAAGAACAACTTGTAGGAAGGTATTACCTGTAGAGGGATGAACTTTGATTGCTGCTTGCTTGGCAGCTTCGTCTGCTTTGTGGTTTCCTCTTGAGATTTCATCGGTGATCTTCACGTGAGCTGCCACCTTGATGATGCCTACTTGAGTGGGTAGCAGGATAGCATCCATAAGTGCACTCACGGCTTCAGAATTCTTGATTGGAGTTCCTGCTGAGGTGAGAAAAATCACGAGCTCGCCATATAGGGCCAAAATCATGGGCTATACCAAAAGCATAGCGAGATTCTGTATAAATATTAGCAGTCTTACCAGAAGCCATTTTACACGCTTCAGCGAGTGCCTTCAGCTCTGCCTCCTGTGCGGAGCAGTTAGGAGCAAGTGGTTCAGCTTTTATTACCTCATGTGCAGAGACTACAGCATATCCAGTGTGGAAATTACCCTTCTCATCAGCATATCTGGAACATCTACAAAAAACTCAAAATCTGCATTAGATAATGGAGAATCAAATACATGCAAAAAAACTGCTGTTTCTTGTGCCATTAGTGCTGCACAATTATGGGGTACCTGGGCATCAGCTAACTCATCTGGTTGAGTTAGTGAATTTACAAAAAGATCAGAAGTACAAGTACCATTCCCACTATCCCCACTCCCCTCTTTTAAATCCAGGGGAAGCAATGTAGATGGATTTAACACCATACACATTTTAAGAGTAACATTAGATGGCATAAGCAAGGCACATTGCATTCTGAGATGCCTTGCAGTATGTATGTGTTTTGGTTGAACTTGTGAGAGTATGCTGCTGATATCATGCGGTGTGTATATGGTCACCGGATTATTAAAAACAATACCCCCTAAGCCCAGCACAGGAAGAAGCTATTTCACAATCTGTGCAAGAGTTTCTGCAGGCAGACCACCTCCCCTTGTAACACACCATTGTCCCCAATTAAGAAAAAGCAAGAGAAAGGGAAACCCATGGTCTACCGTATGGTACATGATTTGAGGCAATTAATGCTGTAACTGCCCTTAATGTTCCCAACCCACACACCTTGTTGGCACAAATACCACCTTCCTCTAAGGTATTTACTGTTATTGACTTGGCAAATGCATTTTTCAGTGTCCCCCTGGCTCCCGACAGTCAGTTTTTCTCCCTGTGTGAGTACTGATCAGGGCCCTCTAACCCAAGACATAATGCAAGGGATGATGGACGCGATGTCCGCTAAGATTATGAAAAGTGTACAGACCTCTATAGGAGACCTGCGCAGAGACCTGGGGGACCTCGGGTCCAGAACCTCACGACTCGAGGGAAAAATGGCCAGTGCTGAGGAGGCATATAACGAAATGGAGGATAAACTAGCGCGAATGGCGGAGCGCATCACAGCACAGGAGGTAAAACAGGCGGACATGGAGGATAGAAGCCACCGAAACAATATGCGGCTGAGAGGAGTGACAGAGGCTGTGGGCATTAATGACTTAACGGTACATGTCACAGAGTATCTGAGAGCCCTGGTGCCCGACATGCAGCAAGACATGCTCCTCTTTGATCGTATACGCAGGACAGCAAGGCCCAAATTTCTTCCAGCGGACGCACCCAGGGATGTTTTGGTGCACATGCACTATTACCACACTAAGGAGGCCATATTGAAGAGCTGCAGAACATGCAAAGACCTGCCGGAGCGCTTTCGAAACATCATGCTGTTTACAGACATCTCAGCATATACGCTCAAGAAGAGGAGGGAGTTTCATGATATCACTGCAGCACTCAGGGAGCAGCGGATCGTATATCGCTGGGGGTACCCAGTCAAGTTGCTGGTGCAGAAGGCTGGCAAAACCATAATAATCTCCACTCCGGAGGAAGGCACACGCTTATTGAAGGACTGGGGCATAGCGTCTGAATCCCAGACCAACAAGCCAAAAGAGCCGAAAAGACTAGTTCCAGACTGGAGGAGAGCCAAACACTCATAGACTATATGATAAGGAAGTCGGAGAAGAATTAATAGACCACTTTGAGACGTACCACAAGTATCATCATCGTATTTTTGTATGGTTACAACCAATGTAAAAGATATATCTGTTTCATTGTCCAAACACAGTTATAACCCTGCAATGTTAGTGGGGGAAACTGGAGTTGGATACTGCCCTCAGGGCTGATAGAATTGACCAGAAATCTAAGGGGGGAATCAGGCTTTGAGGGGATTGGGATCCCAAGGAGACGCACCGCATGGTAACCCGGTAGCCACATGTAGTACCCAATTGAAACACAGGTTAAACGTAAAAAAAGAAAAAAAAAGAAAAAAGAAACAAAAATATTGCCACAGCAAAAAAAGGCCTACACATAACTGAAAGGCTAAACTGATGACTTGATCCCTTCTGGTCACGGTTCTCCAACCCTCGATTGTCACCTGAGCTCTGGGAAGAATTATGGAAGCAGAATAACGAGATGGACACAAGGTTGCTTTCCAAAAGTCTTCTGACAATGTATTCAAAATGCTTTGTATTTATACAATATTTGTCACGAACATTGGTTACAGAAAGTTACACAAAATACATAAAAGAGGGAGTAGTTTCTGCTGTTTCATTCAATAATCTAATCTTACAAACTAACACATGTGCATTGTGGTTAGGCATCTCCTGATACATAGAAACTGTCATAGCTTGTGACTTCCTTTCAGTTATGTTTAGCAAGCAGTTCTAAAAAGAGCTTGCTACTACATTTACAAAATAATTCACCTTATACAATACTAACAGATTAACTATTTCAATTCCTTCAATAACGTACGCTGTCCCAGGCTTAGGAACAGAAAGCTTCTACCCCCCAGGCACTTGAATGAAGTGCCTAGCCATCTACAGGGCAAAGTTTACTATTGTATATACTTTCTTTATTGTTTGGTTATGTTTTTCTGTTGCGGTACTCAGCGGAATGTGGCATGTTGCCCAAGACGCTAAGGATTGTGTTAGGGACCGGGTGGGTGGCCCCAATTACAGCACTGACAAACCACGTGCCTACAAGGGTAAATGGGACATCACAAGCTCTAACTCAAGCCATAGTACCTGTGGAAATACCACACAGACTCAAGGTGTGGACCTACTCTGCTTGATAGCATTGGGAGGAATGGGCCACCCCGCAACAGACAGACACTCACATTACTCAGCACAACCAACCATGCTTGACCCTACATGAAAATATACACACATAATGTAAGGGGACTGAATATATGTAGTGATAGTGGGAATGACATAGAATATACAATTGCGAGCATCAACATCAGAGGAACTTCTTGCACAAAATATGTCAAACCCTGACACAAATAAGACAAGGAATAACGCTGATCTGCGGAGACTTTAATCACATTTTTGACCCAAATATGGACACAACCACCCACAGATCCAGCAGTAGAAACAGGACCCTTAGGCGCCAAAGTAAAGCCCTCCAGACCCTTTTACACAATCACCACTACTATGACATTTGGAGAATCACACACCCCTCGGAAAAAGCATACACACATTTCTCACACGTGCACAACTCATATTCCAGAATAGATGGGTTCCTCATATCGGGCACCCACCTTAACCAGATTATGACCTGCGACATAGCACAAATCACGTGGTCAGATCACGCCCCAGTACTCCTGAAAATGAAAGATTTATATGATTTTAAACACCGTAGCCCCTGGAGAATTAATAACTCCCTCCTCCACAACCCACAGTTCGTGGCCAATTTATCCACCCAACTGAAACAGTATTTTGTGGAAAATGAGACACCGGACGTCTCATCCACAACTGTCTGCATGGCCCATAAACCAGTGGTGCGAGGATTGTTGATACGGAGAGCATAATTCCTCTGCAAACAAGCACAAAAACTCACTCTCGACCTACGAAAAGAACTGTACGATATAAACCGCCAAAACCAACTCTCCCCTTACGACGACAAAAGACAGCGCATACTCCAAATAACCAGAGCTCTTAATAAACAAGCCCTAGACCACACAGAGCGCACCCTGCAGTGCCTGAAACACCACCAACACGCCCAAGGCAATAAAGCTAGCAAACTATTAGCGCAAAACCTTAGAGCCCAGCAAGCCTCCCAAAAGATAGCCTCTCTCTCCTCCAACACAGGACAAAAATTAAACACCCCCAAAGCCATAAGTGATGAATTTGCGCGCTACTACGCCAAACTATACAACTTAAAACTAGACCCCACAACCCCACAACCAATAGAGCAAGAT